TCCAGGATGGAGTCACAGCCAAACAGGAACAGACCAGATGAAGCTACTTAGAAACCAATTAACCTACCAGTCATGTTTTTGGACTGTGGGAGGAAGCTGGAGTACCTGGAGAGAACCCAAACATGCTCAGGGAGAACATGCGTTTCTTATTAGACTAACAGAAAATGTGCAATATGGATTAAAACAAAATTTGACTGGCGCAAAAATTAATCATTTTATTGATTTGAAAACCCTTAACTACTTTTCACTGATTTACTGAAAAACAAAGTTGGTTTGGTAACTTCATTAAGATTTGAACTTGATAGCCAGATGTATCAAGGTGTGAGAAAATGTATTTAATCTCCTCTGAAGATTCATCATGGGCGCCTCTAAAAAACTCTCAAATGATCAGAAAACAAAGATTGTTCAACATAGGTTAGGGGAAGGATACAAAAAGTTGTCTCCGAGATGTGAACTGTGGGGAACATGGGAAGGAAATGGGACAGTTCCAGTTAAGCCCAGAAGCGGCAGGCCAAGAAGCGCAGTGCTGATCTGCGCAGCCCGGAGGCGCTCTGAGTGCAGCTTCCTGTCGGGTCAGACCGTGTCTCACCTGCGAAACTTTAGATTTCCCAGACGGATTCGGCACAGGCTGTGATGCCAGGGGGTCGGACCTGTTCCTGACAGCACGAGCGCATCTCTGCAGCTGCAGCGGGTTCGGTTCGGTTCTGTCGGGCCTGTGGGTTTTGTCCCTGCACTGATCCGGCTCTTGGTTTGTTGTTTAAGCCCTGAATCGTTCTGAGACCAGGACAGATGGAGGCTTCAAGCACAGTTGGAGCTTCTCGCTTCCCGGTGACAGAGAGACGGCGAAGAGACACGAGTAAGAACCTTCTGCTCCCGCTTCCAGAACCTTCTCTGCACACATCCAGCTGTCGGTCTCAGCGCTCCGCTCATTTAAATCTTTCTCTGTAGTAAAAATATGATCAGAACCGCACTAACGACCCGGCCCATTGTCAGGGTGAACAGGAACCGACACTAAGTCCTGCTTGGAGGCCTCATTTCCAGCTGAGCCCACAATTATTCACACCCCTGGCTGATTTGGATGGCTTATCTTTTAGCTTGGAATCAAACATTAGGCAGAATCAGGCTGGAAAAGAGGCGTTCGTTTAGATTCTATTAAAAATTTTAAATTGTTCAGTTATTGGCTGTGTTCGGATTCATGGGCTGCGTCTTCCAAGGACCCGGTCTACCTGTACTGGATCCTCCAAGGACGCGGTCTACCTGGACTGGATCCTCCAAGGACGCGGTCTACCTGGACTGGATCCTCCAAGGACGCGGTCTACCTGGACTGGATCCTCCAAGGACCCGGTCTACCTGGACCGGATCCTCCAAGGACGCGGCCTACCTGGACCGGATCCTCCAAGGACGCGGCCTACCTGGACCGGATCCTCCAAGGACGCGGCCTACCTGGACCGGATCCTCCAAGGAGGCGGCCTACCTGGACCGGATC